TTAAAGGAAAATTAATATAAACCACCATGTGTAGGAATCTCAGAGTTGACTGAGAAGCAATGAAGGTTGTAGATAATTATTGGGGGGGGGCTCAAGAATAAATATATACACTGTGATAGAGAGGAAAAGGGGAGATTAATTCTAGAGAGGAAGACAATAAGAAACTTAATAGCTTATGAAGGATAAGGGTATTCCAGTGACAGTAAAGAACAAAATAGTTAAAGCAGTCATTTTTCAACTCTTAATGTACTGTTGTGAAAGCTGGAGAAAGAATGAGTCTAAGAAGATAGATGCCTTCAAATAATGGATTTGGAGACTGCAATAAGAAACAATCCATCAGTCCTGGACCAAATAAAAACCGACTGCTTTCTTAAAGTGATGATCCATAAGCAGAAACTAACATATACTGAGCAAATTATGGAATAGAAAAACTACTCTGCTTGGCAAGGTTGAGTTAAAAAGAAGGGGAGAAGGAGGAGGAGGAGGAGGAGGTGGTGGTGGTGGTCATCCTTGGAAGAGCTGCAGATTACCAGTGGGACAAATCAAAATAGTGAGCATGTATCTAGTCACTAAGACTCCGTGGCACCTAGATGAGATATTAAGCAAAGACTGTTAGGATTTCTAAAAGAAAATTGTTTCACGTTTTCCTTTGGTGCAAATAAATAGATCATTTTTGGCTTTTTACATGAATAAAGCTCTGTCTATCTTCAAGAAAGCCAAGTGTCTGTTAACAGAAGTTAATTGACAATGCCAATGGTATTAAGATGGTTATGGTCAGAGATTTCTTACATTCCCAGAAACTGTCTCCAGCATAATTGCATTGTCTGCAGCTTCAGTGGAATGTTAGTTTTGCTTGGATTCTCTCTAAATGACCAAACTGATTCTGTAACGAACTGTGTTTGTCATGGCCTCTGCAATCCTAAAACATTAGTTTTTATTAAAAGGCACATTTAGCACAATGCATATTGTTTCTTGAATGTGCCTATACCACGCTGTATCTATCACAAGAGGCCACCAAGATGAAACTCTGGACTGAATGAATAATAGACTGAAGTGTATTTTTTCTGCTATTATGCTTGATTTTGTTAGGAGAATGTTCACTCCTTGGATCAAGAATTTCAACTACAATTCATACCTTTCATATATAATTAAATTAAAAATAATTAAAATTAAATATAATCTAATCATTTTTATCATTAGCTAAAACTCTTTCTTACCATTTTGCTTCAAGTAACATAAAAAGCTATCCCCCCTGCAAATTCATCCTAAAACATTTGCTGTATCTTGTTTATAAAAATCATATTTTTCCATCTATAAGATGCACCCTTGTATAAGACGCCCTGGCATAAGAGTTTCTCCACACCGATCAGCTGTTCGGCAGAGCGCCGGAAGTTTGGCTGGCCAACGATCTTGCCCCTTCCCGTTAGTGGTAAGCTCACAGGGGCTTGGCACCTGCACCAGGCGGCATGACAACCCACACAGGCATGCCCTGTGCTGCGGAGGTTACAATTATTTTTTCCGTGTATAAGACACTGCACCTATATAAGACGCACCTGATTTTTGAACAGGGTGTTTGCAGGAAAAAATAGCTTCTTATACATGGAAAAATACAGTACTTTCTGAAACCTAAAACTATCCCTGTACATTATGATTGACTGTATGATTATGTAAATAAATCATAGTCTCATGTATGCTGGTCCCAGTACCTACATATGTATTTTTCCCACCATACTTTATTTCCTCTAACCTCTGTGAGAAAATCTGGAGGGAAGCTATGTTTCTGTTTTCTTCATTATGATACAAGTCAGGAACATGGTGGCTCACATGGTTAAGATGGTGGGTTGGAGGTTAGCAAGCCTATGTTTGAGATCTGAATGCTGCTGCATGGCAGGTGTGAGCTCCTGTCATTCACTCCAGTTCCTTGACAGGGATATGAAAGGAGCTCCTATGGGTGTCCCCCAGGCAACAGTGATATCACCAGCTATTCCTTTCAACTCAGAAGCATGTTAAACTCTGCCTCCAACATAATCCAACAGGGATTATGATATAGGGGTCCATATGACCCAGGATGCAACTGTAGCTGGACAGCTGTATCAACACTCAAGCAAGCATAATTCTGCTCCCCTTTACTCCTCCTAACTGAATGTAGAAATGTCAGAAAGAACAAGGTGCGGAATATAGAATATTGCTGTCTTCTGTAGCCTTCATGTTTTCTTTAGGAATGCACAAAGCATGAAAATTGGGCAGGTTGTATGTCACATTCCTACAGACCGGCAGTCCTGCTTTTCCTAACACTTTTCAAGTTCCACAAAATTATACAGAGAATAAACATACCATTTTTCTGAATGGCTCTCCTCTTGTTACTTGTCTAAATGTGTCCTAAACGCTTCCCCTTGTGTTTTGGGATAACAATTTCCAAGTGGGAAAGAAGAAATGAATCTAGAGATCTCCCACAGCCATGCCTGGTCTTCAGGCTGATAAATGTCAAAGTAATTTGGCTTCCCTTGTTTATCCTTAACATTGCAATCTAATTCAGAAGTAAACCCAAAATAAAAACCCAGTGCCTACACTTTCCAGATAATTTCATTACGGCTCATATTGATTCATCAGTTTGTCTCATTAATATTAATGACATTCAAATGGCTAGATTCCTGCATGCTGGGATAAGGGTTTACTCTGAGGAATGTAACTCCCTTGGATGAATTAATCTAAATGCACTTCTTTGCAGAGATAGGGTACTGCATTATGCTACTCATTACAGTGATATAAATGTGGGAAGACTGAGCCTCTTACCGACTTGTGCAGTATTTTACTAGATTTAGCCCTATGCTTATGTGGATTTGTGCTACTGAGGGATTATTACAAGTAGCTAATAATTTTCTAGTTAATTTAAATTCTATCTCTATAAACACAAGAATCATTCTACATAAAATTAAGAGTCCAATACTAAACACCAGAATTAGTTTCAGCAGTCCAAGGCATTAAAGTATGTAGCTCTACCACCTCATACCTGTTTCATGACGTTCTCCTAAACCTCGAGTCCTTCAGATGGTCTGGATTTCAAGACTCTGTTGTCTGAAATCTAATATATCATTCAGTTATTGAAGGGTTCTTTATATGTAAAAGCCAATCTCTTTTTACTCAGTTATACCAAAGTATTAGTATAAACTAGGGATGTGTTAACTTCAGCCCCAGGACCTATTTTAAACTTGATATTAAATTGTATGGTTTAATGTAATTGAATGGGGAAATCATTAAATAATAACAAATTGCCACTAATAAAATTATTGTGTTCAAATTTGTTGTCCCTAAATCTTCAAGTACAATAGATTTTTTAATAAATATGCTTTTTATGAATTTATCAAGTAACCTCCAATTAACCATTACATCTTGTGTTAATGAATTTCATATGAACCACGCTGGCATAATTACCACTTGTGCACAATAATATTTGGTGACACAGCACAATATGTGAATTAGGTTCATGGTCTTTAGTTTGGCTCAACCTTTGGCATATTGAAGTAGAGCTGGAAAAGACAAACTATCAGTCAGTGCTGAAAATATTCATTATAAGACAAGTTCTTATAAAGTTTTGTTTCTTTTGAATAACTTCACAAGCTTTCCTTCTTTTTCTGGCCTTTATTAGCACTGTATGATAAGCTGCTGGCTTGTATGATATGTTAATACAATACATCCATTCCATTAACTAAAAGTAAGGAGAAGTAATTCATGTCCATTAATCCTCCTTGGAAATACAGATAATCCTCATTTAATGTCACAACTGAAACTGGCAACTTGGTCATGAAGCAAACTAAATGAAACTACAACTGTGCTTATTATCTTACTTTGCTTTCCTTCACTCTACAGACTTTCAAAAGTCATAAATGCAAGGATTGATCATAAAGTTATTTTTTCGTCATTGTTGCAAGTGCAAATAGTTGCTAAACAAGGCAATTGTAAACAAAAACTACCTTTGTAAGAATAGAAAGATACTTATAACATATATTTTCCATTTATGTTGATTTATTCTGCAAAGAACAATATTATATGAGCCATGCTGCTATAACAATTATACCATTTTTAACACGTAAATATAATAACAACTATAAGGGGCATTGTCTTACCTAAACGCCTTTTCTCAGCATGAAGATGTAGCATCCACTGATGGGTAATCAAAGCTTTCCTGCTCAGTTTAGACTAAGACCAAACTTTAGCCATCCCTCCCTTGGGCCGTCCTTTCCCAGTTTTGACGAGGCGAAGAATTCATGAGATCTGACACAATAGCTCATCCTGTAAGAAATCTGCCTAGACTAACTGTTAAGGGTGGGTGTGGATGCTACATCTTCATGCTGAGAAAAGGCGTTCAGGTAAGACAATGCGCCTTCTCCAGCATGATAGATGTAGCATCCACCAATGGGACATACCAAAGCCACCCATGTCCCTGTCGAGAGGGAAAGTCTAGTCTTGTGATTCGTGTGTAGAAACTACCTGCTGCAAGATCCTTCTCCCGAAGGATGCATCTGTTGCAGCAAACTTATCAAGCTTGTAATGCCTTATAAATGAAGAGGGGGAAGACCAGGTAGCTGCCCTACAAATCTCCTCAACCGAAGCCTGGGTAGACCAGACTGCAGATGTGGCCGTGCTACACGTTGAGTGAGCTGTGATGTTGGCAGGAACCGGAAGGGACTGAGCCTTGTATGCATAGGAGATGCACACGCCAATCCATCTTCCAATGGTTGAAGATGACACCTTCAGACCCATGGAAGAAGGTTGGAATGACACGAACAGTGCCTCCGTCCTGCAAAATGTTGCAGTTCATTTCACATAGTGCTGCAAAGCCCTGCGCACGTCTAATGTGTGCCACAACCTTTCCAAGTGATGAGACGGACGAGGACAAAAATCCGGGAGAACCAGATCCTGAGACCTATGGAACCAGGTATTGACTTTCGGGATAAAAGAAGGATCCAATTTGAGGACCACTCTGTCATCCAGAAAAATACACAGGTCACTCCTGACTGAGAGCGCGGCCAGTTCTGAAATACGTCGTGCCGATGTGTTGGCTACCAAAAAGGCTACTTTCAAGGAAAGAAAGTGCAGAGAGCAAGATCTAATGGGCTCAAACGGTGACCCAGTGAGGACCTGCAGCACCTTTGGCAAGTCCCATGTGGGATATCTATGTACCACAGGAAGACCAGTGTTAACGGCTCCCTCAAGGAAGGCCGTAACTGCCAGATGATGTGATAACTGGACCCGATTCTCACAAGTGAGCACAGTGGATAATGCTGCAATCTGTCTGTGAATGGTATTATGAGACAGTCCTTTGTTCAGGCCCTCTAAAAGGTAGTCTAATATGATCAGGATGGTGACAGCCAGCAGGTCAACCTTCAGAGTGTTACACCACACGCAGAAATATCTCCACGTGGCATCATAAATCCTATTGGTTGAAGGACGTCTAGAGGCTTGAATTACAGTAATCAATCCAGATGAATAGGACTGCTTAAATAAGCTCTCCTACTCAAGTGCCAAGCGGCTAGTTGAAGCCACTGTGATTCTGGGTGTTGGAGTTGACCCTGACTGAGTGAGATGTGATCTGGTGGGATCTTCCACGGCGGGGAGATCGAAAGATCCACAAGGTCGGCAAACCAAGGTCGCCTTGGCCAGTGTCGGACCACCAAGATTAAATCTGTCTGTTCTAAGAGAAGCTTTCGGATGATGGCTGGAATCAGTGGAAGTGGAGGGAAAGCGTACAGAAGCTCCCTGGGCCACCTGCTGCGGAGAGCATCTGTTCCCTCTGCCCCCCGTGACAGAAACCTCGTGTAGTATCTGGCCAGTTGAGCGTTTGCTGGTGAGGCAAACAGGTCCACCTGAGGCTGTCCGAACCTATCCGATATCTCCCTGAATATGGATGGATCCAAGCGCCACTCTAAGTGGTCTACCATCGCCTTGCTCAGGGAATCGGCTTGGCAATTCGCCTCCCTGGATATGTGTTCTGCGCTGATGGATTCCAGATTGGACTCTGCCCACAGACCCAGTGCTAGGGCCTCCTGCATGAGGGACCACGATCTGGTCCCTTCTTGCCTGTTGACATGGGCCTTGGCTGCGATGTTGTCTGTCATTATCAGGACGTGTTTCCCTGTTACTATGTGTGAGAACTGGCGAAGCGCCAGGTGTACTGCCCTGAGTTCTAGCCAATTTCTATTGTGTGCTAGATCAGACTGGGACCATTGGCCTTGTGCCATGTGTGTCTGTATATGTGCGCCCCATCTGAACAGACTGGCGTCTGTGGTCAGGATGAGCCTGTGGCGTTCCTTGAAAAGTGACCCCGTGTATAGCTGCCGACACCCACCATTGGAGTGACAACAGTGTGTGGTGTGGAACTCTCACCTTCCGTGTGGAAGCACTCATGTTCCACTTCTGGAAAGGGAGTATGAACCACTGTAGGTGTCTGGAGTGAAGTCTTGCCCACGGCACTATTCCTAGGCCTGAGATCATCTTTCCCAACAGCTGAGACAGCTGGACAAGTGGAACCACCTTCTCTTTCCAGATCCTGTGAACTAGAGATCTGATGCTGTCTTTGCGTTCCTGGGAGAGATAAACCCTTCATAGGTTTGAATCTATCACTGCCCCTAGATGTAATATCCGAGTGGTCAGAGTGGTATGGCTCTTTTGAAATTCACGGAGAATCCGTGTCTCTGGAGTGTATTTATTGTGGTCTGTAAATCTATCTGGACAGAACAGAATGAACTGGACTGGATGATTATATCGTCCAGGTAGCATTGCACTTGCACCGGCATCAGTCTGAGATGGGCCGCTAATACCGCCAGTAACTTCGTGAACACTCGAGGAGCCGAGGATAGACCGAAGGGTAGGGCCCTGTACTGATAGTGTCTGCGCACATGGCAAAACCGAAGGAATCTGCGGTGATGGGGTCAGATGGGGACATGAAGATAAGCCTCTGTCAAATCTATGGAAGAGAGGAAATCTCCCTTCCTGATGCTAGCCAGAATGGACCTGAGGGACTGCATCTTGAACCTCCTGTATGCTAGGAAGTAGTTTAGTCCCTTCAGATCCAAAATCACCCTCCAACCCCCCGAGGCCTTGGGGACCACGAAGAGGATGGAGTAAAACCCCTTTCCCCTTTGGTCCAGGGGTACTGGCTCTATGGCTTCTATATCTAACAAGTGGGATATGGCCTTGGATATCACCCGGTCTTGCTTGCGTGTCTTGAGGACGGGCACTGAATGAAGCGATCTGGGGGGATAGACTTGAATTCTAGAGCTAGACCGAATCTTATGGTCTCCCTTACCCAGGAATCGTTGGTGGTGACCTCCCAGGTGGCGCTGAACGGAGCTAAGCGACTGCCTATCGGAGGATCTGATTTGGCGTCACTTAGACTTCCTGTATGGGCAGCCCCAGCTCCTCTGAAGGGACACTTGTATTGGGATTGACCCCTGGCTCCTGTACTTTGGCGGTCCTGTTGGCGATCCTGTCTGGGGGAAAAGGATCGGGAACCCCTGGGCCAATCCCAGGACTGCCCTGATTGAAAGGGCTGTCTCCATTCCCAGGAACTTCCAGCACGAAAGGACTGCCTGCGAAATTCTTGTTGGGGTTTTCTATCCGCCTTCTTAGAAGGGTGAGCCAAGGTCTTTCACTTGTCTTTCCGCTCTATTAGGTACGGTTCTAGAACCGGACCAAACAAATGGGTACCACTGCCGGTGTCTGTAGCTAGATGCCACCTTGACTTCAGGTCAGCCCTCCATTGTTTTAGCCACAACAACCTACGTGATGCTACCGTGGCCGCTATGGATCTAGCGGAATACTTGGTCGAGTGGAGGGATGCATCTGCCATATATTCCACTGCAGCTACCAGCTTACCTAAGGTCTGTTGTGCACGCACCTGATCCGGAGGGATTAGAGCCTGCAACTCACGGAGCCACATAATGGAAGTCCTCGCGAAAAAGGATGAGGATGTTGCAGCCCTGATTGCCCAGGCTGAAGCCTGATGAACCCTGTGGAGGGAAAACTCGAACCTTTTATCCTCCGCCTTGAGAGCCTCCGCCATATCTCCAGGAATCGTGGATGTGGAGAACAGTGAGGTTAAGGGAGTGTCTACTGTAGGTACTTCTAGGAGGGAAGAAAATGTGGATGAAACATTAAACAGTTTCTTTTCTGTGCTATTGGGTGGAGGTAAAGTGGCCATTGAAGACCACTGCTTCTCCACCATAGTGTGGAAAACAGCTGGACAAGGAACCTGTTTTTCCTCCACAACCTTCATTGCAAACAAAGGATTAGACTCCTGTGCAGTGGAGGTAGACGGTTTAGGCTCCTGCTCTGTGACCAAATTGGCTGTGGTGCAGGCCTTTAACAAAAGAGACCTAAATAGAGAAGGATCAAAGAGACCCGATGTTGGGGTTGGATCCGGAGCCATCTCTTCATCCTCATACATAGGGATGTCAGTTGTCTCCAGGTCCACAGACTCAGCCTCTCCAAGCTGAGATGAAGTCTCAGAAATACCGGAGCCCGCTGACTGGGTGTGCCCAGTGCGACCTACGGACAAGTGTGGAGGAGGCGGTACCTGTGGACACCCCTGTGCCATGGAAGATGACATAAACTGGTCAAAGGCCTGGTGCATAAAGGTCTGGAACTGTTGTGCCCATAAGGTTCGCTCTGCTGAACCAACACCAGTAGCAGTGGCTTGAAGAGCCTGTGGAGTGATGGAAGCAGACTGAACAGAAGGATCAGGATGAGAAGGTGGAGAAGAAGGATGAATAGGAGAAGGGAGACCGACCTGTTCAGTTCCCCCTTGAGGAGACCAAGCTCTGGAAGCCTGATAAGATGGCACTAGTGGAGGCTCAAATGGTGAGTTGTCCAGCAAAGCAGGGGGAACCACTTCAGTTTCGCTGGACCTGAGCTGTTGAACTTTGGAGAATTCTCTCTCCAGTGCCAGATGTCTCCTCGAGGCCTCTCGCTCAGCAGCCTTGGAGGGTTCTTTAGTGGACAAATGCTTGGTCTTGGCCTTCTTCTTTCCCCCCATGCTCAAATCTAAAGATCTGTGTTTAGATTGTGCGGGGGGAAACATCAGAACCCTGCGATGTCTGAGGAGTATCACTGTCTGCCATTGCGCACTAGACCTTCCAGAAAGGAGAAGCCCAGGAATGGGGGTAAAAGCACGCAGATCAAGTTGTCCGGGAGGGAAGCTTCCCACGCCCTGAACAACTACAATGACAAATAGCCAGACAGCTCACTAGAACTGTCTGCTTAGGCCCTGCGACACAGCGCCATGCGCTAAAGCAACAAGTCTGTTAAATTCTCCCACAGAATTGATCTGTCAATGAACTTGGATGTGACTGATGTAACAAGGATCTAAATAAGGAATACATCTCCCTTCTGTGAAATCCTTATGAAAAAGGCATAATAACTATGCCTGATAAACCCCCTTGAGAGCCTAACGCAGAAGGCTGCTCAAAGTAATCGGTCTGATATTGGCCTTGAATGTAGGCCTCTCCAAAATGGCGACCACACCCAGCACCCTATCCAAAATGGCGGCCCTGAGTCTCCTTGCCGCCTAAAATGGCGACGCCTGTGAGACTGATCTGAATTAAGTCTCCACAAGCCCTTTTTTAGCCCATTGAGGGAGCCCAAGGGATTTTCAAATAACCTTTCTCTCACCCCCTTAATTTATAAGGCACCCAAGCACTTGCGTTTCTGTTGCGCAGGCAAGCTGTGGCTCGATCGTCGCTGGAGCCTCCTGGCAAGGAGGCAGCTCGGCCATTCAGCCTGATCTTCCGGAGCACTCACAAAGAAATCACTCCTGGGCACTTGGGGAACTCCCGTCATAGCGCCAAACAGCTGATAGGAGCTGAACCATTAATCCACAGCGTAGCTCCTGGCGATCCGCAAGGCCGGGCAGGCCCCTGGGACAAACGCTCCCAAATTGATGGAAATCCAGTCCTTGTACATTCACTAGCTATAGCAAATTAACTTAACACAAACTAAATGAAAAAATCCTAACCTTCTATCCTAAATCTGACTATTTAAAATTAGGCTATCTGAGAAGCTACCAAAGTTGTGTCCTACTGAGCTGAGACTAAGACAAAACTGGGAGAGGACCACCCAAGGGAGGTGTGGCTAAAGTTTGGTCTTAGTCTAAACTGAAAAGGAAGGCTTTGATTACCTATCGGTGGATGCTACATCTATCATGCTGGAGAACATTGAAGTTTTATTGCATTTTAAAGTATTGTTTGTTTATTTGATTAATTTCAACTTCTTTATATTAAAACTGCTATGGATAGTAAAATAAAAACACTTAAAAACACAAAATAAAATACTTTAATAAAAAAGCACCTTCTAACCTGCATTTTAAAACAAATGAATCAGTACATCTTAAAAAATAAAAATATATATTATTTTCTAGTTTTCCATAGTTAAGAATAAATTCAATGAAATCAATAATAGTAACTGTGAGAGGGACAATCACTTAAATATGAGCCAGCAGTGTGCTGCAGCTGCCAAAAAAGCCAACACAGTGCTAGGCTGCATTAACAGAGGGATAGAATCAAGATCACATGAAGTTTTAATACCACTTTACAATGCCTTGGTAAGGCCACATTTGGAATACTGCATCCAGTTTTGGTCACCACGATGTGAAAAAGATGTTGAGACTCCAGAAAGAGTACAGAGAAGAGCAACAAAGATGATTAGGGGACAGAAGGCTAAAACATATAAGTAACGGTTACTGGAATTGGGTATATCTAGTTTAATGAAGAGAAGGACGAGGGGGGACATGATAACAGTGTTCCAGTATCTCAGGGGCTGCCACAAAGAAGAGGGAGTCAAGCTATTCTCCAAAGCGCCTGAAGACAAGACAACAAGCAACGGATGGAAACTAATCAAGGAGAGAAGCAACCTAAAACTAAGGAGAAACTTCTTGACAGTTAGAACAATTAACCAGTGGAACAATCTGCTTCCAGAAGCGGTGAATGCTCCAACACTGTTAAGTTTTTAAGAAGAGACTGGACAGCCATTTGTCCGAAATGGTATAGCATTTCCTGCCTGAGCAGGGGGTTGGACTAGATGACCTCCAAGGTCCCTTCCAACTTTATTATTATTGTCATTGTTGTTGTTGTTATTTTAAATACACAGTCTATATAGAAGCCACCTGCTGGGCAATTCTAAGCCTATAGTGAACCATTTTAACTAGCCATTATTCCAAACACCCACCCCAGATATGTGAAGCTAATAACGTCCTATACAATGCAAAACTAATGTTCCTATCCACTACGGATTATGATGTAATTGGCCCAATCCAAACAAAAGGTCTTTTCCTACTTGCACAACATTTTATACCATCTCCTGATACCTTCATGGAACTTTATACTCACATATTTATATGTGCTGTGAGTTGCAGACCTTTAGTAGTATTTGACGTTGTTCCTGATTAGTTTTTGTTTAATAAAATACATGTTTTATAACCTGAATAAGTAATAAGCTTAGATTACTTTTTTGCCTGCTACTTGGGTGCAGTTTGGGACAAGTTCTTGGGAAGCTGAGACTCCTCAGAATTTCCCATTCCACTCTTTCCATCTCTCAAAGATGGAATTCAAACCCTGAGGCCATCCGTCTTTACAGGATGACTCAAGGAAATCAAAGGGAGTAGCAAGGATGCAATATACCCTCCTCAAAAGTCAACCCTCCATCCTCAGTGGGAGGAAAGGGCTCATTTAGATGAATTTAGCATTGTTTAAGGACATACTTTCTTGGGAATAAGTTCCAAATGACCATGCATGGGATTGTACCATAAATAAAACGTCGCTATTCTTCAGATCTACATTTTCAGCAACTGTGAGCAGGGCACAACATACAAAGATGTGTTTTGAAGTTACTCATTGTTTCATTTTCTAGCAGTTAGTTTTTTAAGCATTTGATTCAAATACCCGGCTACTAAGCGTTTGCCTCTCAGTATCTGAACTGAGAACGTATTGAAGATAATCTTATATTAATTCCCAAAGTGCCCTTAGCTGATAAAAATGACAAGCGTAAGCCTTCTATAAAATGATAGAACATAAATAAGTACGTCATGACATTAGCACAGAAAAAGTATTATTCAATCTTTTGACCTTACTTGTTATAATCATTTGAGCAAGTTTGGGGGACGAAAGCAAACATTTCGGGTGAACTCAGGTCATCTGAAAATTTATATTTATGTTATGTGAAACCTAGCAATGTCTGTGACTCATCAAACAAGACTTCTGAACCAAAAATAGATCTGCAGTATTAAGAATGAGGGTCATTAAACACCTGAATCACAATTTCTGCATCATCTCTCCACAGCTTGAATGGTGGAATTTTTTAAAGTTTGCAGCCAGAAAGATCTGTTGAATTTGCCACACAATTTCTTCATTGAGTGATCTGCTAAGAAATCGAATGCCTTAAGAGAATACAGCTAGTATCAAAGAAGCAGGAAGAATATCAAGACAAAAATTATGTGAGAATGTAGCCAGTTTTGCCTCCTGGTTAAGGCGCCAGGCTAGAAACCAGAAAGGGTGATTTCTAGTCCCATTTTAGGGATGAAAACTGGCTGGGTGCCCTTAAGCCAGTCATTCTCTCTTAGCCCAATTCATCTCACAGGGCTGTTGTTGTGAGGAAAAATAGGAGGAGGAAGGATAATTAGGTTTGTTACCCACCTTTATTTATTTATAAAAATAATGAAGTTGGGATATTTTTTTAAAAAAGAACCTTGAAACAGCAAAACAGAGGGCAATAAGTTAATTGAGACAGAGATAGAAAGGAACTGATGAAATGTAGTGTGTGTGGGGGGGAATGAATAGCTGAGTAATAGAAGGAACAGTGCTGAGACTGAGTGTCACCCAGAGTTGATTAGAAGATGGGAATCTATATAAATATTTGATGTGAATGAAATGAATAAATGTCCAGGGAAAAATGGGGTCTGCAGAGAGAATGTCAGAAACTCAAAATAAGATGGGAAGGAAAAAGCGTGAGCTTGTGATGGGGCACAGTATTAAAGATTGGAATTCTATTGGCCCTCTTGTGAAAGGATATGGACATAAGCAAAATGTTGAAATAATATTGAGCAGTTAAATAATACAATGAGCCTTCACAAATATTCATAATACAGGGGCATTTTTATGCAGAATACAGACTTATTGCTGATAGACATTCCTTGCATTTTACATAAAGGCTGGATACATTTTAAAAATACATGAGGATAGGCAGTGGTGGGATTCAGATATGTGAGCAACTGGTTCTGTGTGTGGATGCCGCTTCCGGAAGTCCATTCTGGGCCTGGGAAGGACTTCCGGTTTCACCCACAGTGCATGGCTGTGCAAGAGCGGACCTCCACTCCCCATGACTAGTTTCTTCCTGCTTGGGGGACCCTAGATGGGTCCAAAGTTGCCCCAGATATGTGACCGTGAAGGAGGGGTGCCCCATTGATCATGAAGCGATGGCAATCACTTTGTTTGATCTGGGGAAAGCCCTCCGAATCTGACAGGAGAAAGGCTAGCGTGAGATCAGCGTCCAGCCCAAGCTGTTGGCAGCCGAAGTCCCAGAGCATGAACCTAAACATCCGTAAACAGCGTGCTTGGAATTAGTGAGAATATTATCTTTTTTCTTCTATCTACTATCTAACTCCTTGAAAAGATCCCCAAAGCAAGAAAACCTCCAGAAGTGAAGGGAGGGGACTATATCCCCATTCTCTTACAGATGGAAGCGACGAATTAATATTAAAGGTGGGAAGAAATATATTGAAATTTGATTTAAAATACTTTAGTCTGGACAAATTTAGGAACTAAAAAACTGTCAAGATTATACCCTAAATTTTTTTTGATGGAATTATAAAAATAACAAAAATAACTTTTTGATTGAAAGAAAAACTGAAAAAAGAAATAACTGCTGACATCTAGTGGAGACTCAGAACAGAACACTAACAATAAGGACTCAGAAATTGGCAGAGTGCCTAGACACAAAGAAAAAGTTGTTCCTTTGAATTGCAAATAACCTTGAAGACAGCTGTGAACAAAGGAAGAGCCAGCTATAAGATTAAAAAGTGTTTGAAAGAAAAAACCAACACCTGGACTGTTGCTTAAATCTAAGAACTGTTTATGGAAAAGAAAAACCTTGGCTTTTTGGATAACCTTTTAGAGGAGAATCTGTAGGAAGGGTTTAAAGTGGCTTAACATACTGAACTGTAATTTTGACTGGCTGATAAACTAACTTTTGAATTAAAACATTGATGAAAGATTATTTGAAGGGGGGAGACAACATGGACATCACATACGTATCAAACAATGACAGGATGCCACATTCAATATTTCCTCCTGAAGGATGTAGCCTTGAAAATCAAGGGCCTCCAGAAGCAATACTTCAAGGCAAGATAAATACTTTCCAGAAGGAAATATATGTAAAGTTAGGACAAATACAAATGACAATAGACTCAAACCACGAGGAAATCTGGAACAACTTTGATGATTTAAATAAGCATATTTCCAATCTAAATTTACAATTAAAAAACACCCAGGAAATAACAACAAAGGCACAAATAAATCAGACAGCAGACTACAAATTAGAAGAGTATGATCAAGTTGATGAAACAACAAAGGAAAAGAATTACAATTTGACACAAACAGGAAAAAAACCTTCACGGTTCTGATTAAAAAAAAGTGGAATTATCAGAACCACCAAAGTTTGGGAGACAGAAAATATTTATCTTACTTACTTCATCTTTTGTATTCTCAAAATTTCTAAAAATACAGGAACTGCTGGATAAGCGGATTACATCAACTTGGAAAATTACTCGGCAAAAGAAGAAGACCAGATAC